ACTGAATCCATTCAGTACAGATGTCATCACTGATTTGAATTCAGCATGGGAATTTAATAAACATTAAACAGCTCAAATAACTCGGTGTCTGGATCATTAATAACATATTTAGTATCGACGATGTGGAAGTCGAATATAGCATAGCCTGCGAAGGAGATAGTTTCTCCCAACACCGCCAGTTTCTACAAAACCAAAAACTTAACCTGAAAACTCGAGTCATGTTCTTAAATAGCCGCAGCAGATCGAGGCTTTCATGTGGATGTCATGCATGACACCAACCCCGTTCAGAAATATCTAAGCTCTCAGCAGTATATAACCTTGATATGACCTTGATCGAGTGAAAGCTGAGGGTCTTGGATAAACCATCCTTCTTTGAACATGGCTGACTTTCGCTACATTCTTCAATGGTTAACACGGAAGTTTTTTTTAGTGACCGACGATTTGTTCGAACATTTTCAACAGGACACAAGACAGAACTCATTGAAGGACATGGCAGAACTGTAATCTTCTTCTTCTAAATCCACAGTCATTGATTTAGACATATGTTTGGAATCATTATCTTGCTGGATATGTGACCTAGATGGAGATTTTGAGCTGATAGTAGATTTTCATCTGGAATTCTGAAGTTTTTTTTTTTTTTTTTTTTTTTTTTTGTGACTGACGATTTATTTGAACTTTCAATTCTTGCCATAGAGTTTTAATAGCATTCAAGTCAGGACTCATTGTAAGTTTGGGATCATTATCTTGCTGGAAAGTAAATCGCCGGCCGAGATGAAGATTTTGCGCTAATTGTTGTTTTCATTTAGAATTTTGATATAGTCTGCAGATTTCATTATTCCTCTTATTGCAATAAATTGTCCAGTTGCCCCTGAGTTAAACAACCCCAAAACATCATCGAATCACCTCCATATTTTAACGTTGCCACTGTGTTCTTTCGGAGGAAGGCCTCACCTTTCTTGCGCCAAATCTTTTGTACATCATTATGTCCAAAAAGCTCAGTTTTTGTTTCATCACTCCATAGTATTTGTTCCCAAAAGTAAATTTTTGTCCAAGAACGTTTTGTCAAAATTAATCCGAGCAACAATGTGGTATGTTTTGTGTGGCGGGTTTTGTTGTGGTCATACAACCCATTTCTATTTAATCATCGTTGTATTGTGCGAGTACTTACGCTGATACCCAACGTATCAAAATTTTTGCCGATGTCTCTTGGGTTTATATTAACCTCCCGACACAGTTTTCGTGCAGTTCTCGGTGACAATTTGGGTTTCTTCCACACCCAGACAAATTCTCTCTCGTGCCAAACTTTTTAAACTTCTCTATAACGGACTGTACCGTAGATCTAGGGATAGCTAACCGGTTTGAAATAGTGCTGTACTTATTTCTCAACGTGTGGCAGTTAATAATTATCTGACTCAAGTAAACGCTAAGCTCCTTTGTTTTCCCCATCGTCTTGTTAAGGTAAGAATAACAATGTTGACACTCTATGCAACACGTGATGTTCTTTGCTTGTATTATCACACATATTCTACTGAATAAATAGTCTAGAAGGCTTCACCGATAAAATAATTATGTAAATTACATATATACTTACACGAGTCAATCAATTTTAAGCAATAGGTTCTACTGTACGAATAATTTTGCATAATTTTCCTGTCAAATTTGTTATATTTAATCTATTGTTCTAAAAATTGAGTTTTATATTCCTTTTTGTGCCAGATTTTTTATGTTAATAAACATGAAAAAAAAATCTGGCAACATACGGAAATTAGTTTCTGAGAAATGGATAAAAATATTCAAAATTGATGGGTGTACAAATAATTTTGTTGTCGATTATCTATAAATATATATATATTTTAAGACATTTTTTATGTTTATACGTTCTTTTTATAGATAAAAAATATTTAAATAAATGCTCTTTCTTTAATGAGCAATATTAAACTACATTTACTGGCCTTGACGTCCGAGAAATATTCATAGAAAATATTCGTCCTACGACAGGAATCGAACCTGTATTCTATACGGAACCGTCATACAGCTTGGCGTGCATTTATCGATTGAGCCACAGAGGAGTGTTTCGGACAGCAAGGTCGATTTTACTGTTTTTAAACTACAATACGCCATGATTTTCTCTCGTAGATTCATATCTGCTCGATGCATAGCCAAATGTAAACAAATGACGTGGCACATTATGACATGGACAAAGTCCGACAATTATTTTAAGAAATATTTTTTATGTTTATACGTTCTTGTTATAGATACAAATATTTAAGTAAACCCTCTGGTTGTAATAAACTGTTTTAAAAGATATATTAGTATTCAGGCCGATAAATGTCGTCAATACTGTTTATTATAAGCAGAGAATTTACTTAAATATTTTATCTATAAAAATAACATATAAACATTAAAAAAATGTCTTAAGATAATGGTCGGACATTGTCCATTTCATAATATATATATATATAGATATTTTTGTAGGTACAAAATTTAATGATCGAAATAA